CCGTCTTTAGTAGCAGAAACACTGACACACACAGCTGACTGACCCGTCTTTAGTAGCAGAAACACTGACACACACAGCTGACTGACCCGTCTTTAGTAGCAGAAACACTGACACACACAGCTGACTGACCCGTCTTTAGTAGCAGAAACACTGACACACAGCTGAGTGACCCGTCTTTAGTAGCAGAAACACTGACACACACAGCTGAGTGACCCGTCTTTAGTAGCAGAAACACTGACACACAGCTGAGTGACCCGTCTTTAGTAGCAGAAACACTGACACACACAGCTGAGTGACCCGTCTTTAGTAGCAGAAACACTGACACACACAGCTGAGTGACCCGTCTTTAGTAGCAGAAACACTGACACACACAGCTGACTGACCCGTCTTTAGTAGCAGAAACAGTGACACACACAGCTGACTGACCCGTCTTTAGTAGCAGAAACACTGACACACACAGCTGAGTGACCCGTCTTTAGTAGCAGAAACACTGACACACACAGCTGAGTGACCCGTCTTTAGTAGCAGAAACACTGACACACACAGCTGACTGACCCGTCTTTAGTAGCAGAAACAGTGACACACACAGCTGACTGACCCGTCATTAGTAGCAGAAACACTGACACACACAGCTGAGTGACCCGTCTTTAGTAGCAGAAACACTGACACACACAGCTGAGTGACCCGTCTTTAGTAGCAGAAACACTGACACACACAGCTGAGTGACCCGTCTTTAGTAGCAGAAACACTGACACACACAGCTGAGTGACCCGTCTTTAGTAGCAGAAACACTGACACACACAGCTGACTGACCCGTCTTTAGTAGCAGAAACACTGACACACACAGCTGACTGACCCGTCTTTAGTAGCAGAAACACTGACACACACAGTTGAGTGACCCGTCTTTAGTAGCAGAAACAGTGACACACACAGCTGACTGACCCGTCTTTAGTAGCAGAAACAGTGACACACACAGCTGACTGACCCGTCTTTAGTAGCAGAAACACTGACACACACAGCTGACTGACCCGTCTTTAATAGCAGAAACAGTGACACACACAGCTGACTGACCCGTCTTTAGTAGCAGAAACAGTGACACACACAGCTGACTGACCCGTCTTTAGTAGCAGAAACACTGACACACACAGCTGACTGACCCGTCTTTAGTAGCAGAAACACTGACACACACAGCTGAGTGACCCGTCTTTAGTAGCAGAAACACTGACACACACAGCTGACTGACCCGTCTTTAGTAGCAGAAACAGTGACACACACAGCTGACTGACCCGTCTTTAGTAGCAGAAACACTGACACACACAGCTGACTGACCCGTCTTTAGTAGCAGAAACACTGACACACACAGCTGACTGACCCGTCTTTAGTAGCAGAAACACTGACACACACAGCTGACTGACCCGTCTTTAGTAGCAGAAACATAAACCTAGAAAAGACACACAGTAGCTTACAGTACGTACAGGATCTTACTCCATCTCTATTTTTCTTTCTATCTTGGTTGTCACCTGACTTCCGTCCCCACTCCCTTCCCATCACCCACTTAGGTTAGCTACACATTAGTCAGCTACATCTTTCTTTCTCTCTCTCTCTTTCTCTCGCTCGCTCTCTCTCTTCCTCTCTCTCTCACACACACATGCACACACACACAAGCACGCATGCACGTATGCATGCGCACACGCAAACTAACACACACACAATATTGTTTTCTCCTTCCTCTTTTAACTCATTTAACTCCTACGCATTGAAGAGAGAGATACAGTGTAGAGGAAGGTAGAGAGAGAGCTGAAGAGAGAAAGACACAGAAACAGTGATAGAGAAAAAGGGAAACAGAGAGAAAGATAAACTCCCTAATCTATGTTAATTAAACTGTGTGTCTATGTGATGATCTGTCACTCATAGTCAGGCCTACACACACACACACACACACATCCCAAAAACCTAACCTTAACCCTAACCCTAAACCTACACCTAGCTCCTAACCCTAAAACTAACACTAGTTCCTGACCCTAAAGCTAATTCTAACCCTACCACTTATTCTAACATTAACCCTAAGCCCCCTAGAAATGGCATTTGACCATGTGGAGATTGACAAAATGTCCCCAGTTGGTCAACTTTTATTTGTTTACTATTCTTGTGGGGACTTCTGGTTAAACACACACCCACACAGGTCAGGCTCTGGGAACCGCAGCCCATAATAAGAGACTTCAGGAGACTAAATAGGATGATCTGCTCTGGTACAGTGGGGGAAAAAAGTATTTAGTCAGCCACCAATTGTGCAAGTTCTCCCACTTAAAAAGATGAGAGAGGCCTGTAATTTTCATCATAGGTACACGTCAACTATGACAGACAAATTGAGATTTATTTTTCCAGAAAATCACATTGTAGGATTTTTAATGAATTTATTTGCAAATTATGGTGGAAAATAAGTATTTGGTCACCTACAAACAAGCAAGATTTCTGGCTCTCACAGACCTGTAACTTCTTCTTTAAGAGGCTCCTCTGTCCTCCACTCGTTACCTGTATTAATGGCACCTGTTTGAACTTGTTATCAGTATAAAAGACACCTGTCCACAACCTCAAACAGTCACACTCCAAACTCCACTATGGCCAAGACCAAAGAGCTGTCAAAGGACACCAGAAACAAAATTGTAGACCTGCACCAGGCTGGGAAGACTGAATCTGCAATAGGTAAGCAGCTTGGTTTGAAGAAATCAACTGTGGGAGCAATTATTAGGAAATGGAAGACATACAAGACCACTGATAATCTCCCTCGATCTGGGGCTCCACGCAAGATCTCACCCCGTGGGGTCAAAATGATCACAAGAACGGTGAGCAAAAATCCCAGAACCACACGGGGGGACCTAGTGAATGACCTGCAGAGAGCTGGGACCAAAGTAACAAAGCCTACCATCAGTAACACACTACGCCGCCAGGGACTCAAATCCTGCAGTGCCAGACGTGTCCCCCTGCTTAAGCCAGTACATGTCCAGGCCCGTCTGAAGTTTGCTAGAGTGCATTTGGATGATCCAGAAGAGGATTGGGAGAATGTCATATGGTCAGATGAAACCAAAATATAACTTTTTAGTAAAAACTCAACTCGTCGTGTTTGGAGGACAAAGAATGCTGAGTTGCATCCAAAGAACACCATACCTACTGTGAAGCATGGGGGTGGAAACATCATGCTTTGGGGCTGTTTTTCTGCAATGGGACCAGGACGACTGATCCGTGTAAAGGAAAGAATGAATGGGGCCATGTATCGTGAGATTTTGAGTGAAAACCTCCTTCCATCAGCAAGGGCATTGAAGATGAAACGTGGTTGGGTCTTTCAGCATGACAATGATCCCAAACACACCGCACGGGCAACGAAGGAGTGGCTTCGTAAGAACCATTTCAAGGTCCTGGAGTGGCCTAGCCAGTCTCCAGATTTCAACCCCATAGACAATCTTTGGAGGGAGTTGAAAGTCTGTGTTGCCCAGCGACAGCCCCAAAACATCACTGCTCTAGAGGAGATCTGCATGGAGGAATGGGCCAAAATACCAGCAACAGTGTGTGAAAACCTTGTGAAGACTTACAGAAAACATTTGACCTGTGTCATTGCCAACAAAGGGTATATAACAAAGTATTGAGAAACTTTTGTTATTGACCAAATACTTATTTTCCACCATAATTTGCAAATCAATTCATAAAAAATCCTACAATGTGATTTTCTGGATTTTTTTTTCTCATTTTGTCTGTCATAGTTGACGTGTACCTATGATGAAACTTACAGGCCTCTCTCATCTTTTTAAGTGGGAGAACTTGCACAATTGGTGGCTGACTAAATACTTTTTCCCCCCACCGTATCTAACTGCTGAGTATCCATAGAGACTGTTGCTATGTCGGAGAGAAATCTAAATTCATTAGGAACAAATATAATTAGCCATCGAGTAGTCGTATCATCATCATCAATATCACCACCATCATCATCATCTTCATGATACCCACATCTCAGAGTGTTGAGACCTGTTGGACTAAAATATGTAAGCTTGAGAGCTCTCTCTCTTCCTCACCCCCCACCCCCTTCACTGTCTCTCTAGTGTCTAAAGTGCTGTTTTCACACACTTGAGAAGGACTTTTTTACAGCTTCTTTCTGCAAGTAGCTAATTAGTCCAAGACTGTTAACAATAATTATACCTTTCATTCTCTCTCTCTCTTTCTCTCTTTCTCTTTCTCTTTCTTTCCCTCTGTCTAGTTAAATAGCCAAGAGGGAGAGTGGGTGAGTGAAGCAGAGAAGGAAATGAGAGATTAAAAGGGAGTAAGAAAGAGAAAGAGAGAGCGAGAAAACCTCTGGCAGTTCTATGCAAACGTTCGTTACCCACCACTAACCCACAAAGCCACAATGAGACAGGTGCGTTATAACAGGTGCACACACGCACACACACACACACACACACACACGCACACACACACACACACACACACACACACACACACACACAGGTGCAGAGTATTCAAAGGATGTCCTAACAAACCAAGTTCAGTAGAGTACATTAATATGTACCATACTGTAAATTGTATTAGGCTGCTCTGCTCTCTTCACCAAAAGCTTCAACAATTGTACACTTACAGTAAACACCTCACAGTACAGATACACTAGAGAGCTATAGCTGATGTACCAGCTGAGTCGCGCACGCACGCACGCACGCGCACGCACCCCCACACACACACACACAAACAAACAGCTGTCGTCTTTCTAATAGGCTTTATATAATAGGTGGGTCTATTTCTGACAGTGTGCCATGGGGAGATGAGGCCGACACCCAGTCTCCATCACTGCACGCCGTGCCAACCATACCGCCTAAACCTAGACTAGCAGGTGACAACTAGGCTACTGTGTATCACAGTGTGTGTGAGATAGATATATACATGGATAGATACATGGGAAAGAGAGAGAGAAAGAGAGAGAGAGAGAGAGAGAGAGAGAGAGAGAGAGAGAGAGAGAGAGAGAGAGAGAGAGAGAATTTCGTGCGCGTGCCTTGCAGTGGAAGTGCAGGAGAGCTGGTGTGCGTGTGTTGGAGATACAGCGAGTGGGTGGAGAGAGAGGCAGCTCGTGCACTGTGCCGGTGTCTCTGACAGATAGAAAAGCGATAGGCGCTTAGGGGAAACCAACAGTGACTCGCTCAAAAAGACACATCTAAAAAGAGCGGACCCCCGAGCGTCTGAGGCGGGACGGACACGGACACGGCTGAGGCGGATTTGACACGGACACGGCGCTCGAGGAGCTCCCGGTTAACGAATCATCTCCCGCGAGGTAAAATAAACACACACTCACACCGTTTACTGAAGTTGATGTTGTTACTGTGTACTATTCTGATCCTGTGATGATGATGTTGTTGTTGTTGTTGTTTATGTCGCTGTGCTATCGAGTTGTTCTGTGTCTTCGCCTTCGGGTTGTTACAGTTTTTATAGATAAGCCTATAGCCATAGGTTAGTCATAGGTTAGTCATCCCCCGGCCAAAAGGCTTTATCTATTTTCATACTGAGCGCTGACAGACAAGTCCACATGGTCAGTCAGATATTGTTGCTAAATGTATGATACATGTCCACAAACACCAGATACCGGTTTTGCTTTGTCCTTGACAATTCATTTATTTGGACAAGTTTTGCTGAATGGGCCCTGTACGCAGGCTACCTTCTCGGTTTACCGGAGGAATAATTAGGTCAAACGGCAACTGAAGTACGTGGTGAACTGGCAGTGACGGTGTGTGCTCCGGTCCTCCCAGAGAGAGAGAGAGAGAAAAAAAGAAAAAGAGAGTGAGAGGGGGAAGTAGGGAGAGAGCGAAAGAGAGAGGTAGAGAGAGGAAGATGAAGAAAGGAAGACAGAGAGGGAGCGAGTTAGAGGAGGGGTGAGTAAGGAGAGAGAGGTTTAGTTGACAGCCCAATGAAGGCTGTGAGCAGGAGGTCTTTAGGGGTAAAAATATAATGTGTCTTAGTTCAGCCAGGGCACAGGAATGCCACACACAAACACCCCGATTAGTAGCTTGACTGGCCACTATGGTTATATCATCTCAGTGGGTCAAATGGATTCTACAGAGAAATATGATACATACACACACACATACAGTGCATTAGGAAAGTATTCAGACCCCTTGACTTTGTCCACATTTTGTTAAGTTACAGCCTTAATCTAAAATGGATTAAATACCTTTTTTCCCTCATCAATCTACACTCAATACCCCATAATGGCAAAGCAAAAACAGGTTTTTTGAAATGTTTGTAAATGTATTACAAATAAAAAACAGAAATACCTTACTTACATAAGTGTTCAGACCCTTTGCAATGAGACTCGAAATTGAGCTCAGGTGCATCCTGATTCCTTTGATCATCCTTGAGATGTTTCTACAACTTGATTGGAGCCCACCTGTGGTAAATTCAATTGATTGGACATAATTTGGAAAGGCACACACCTGACTATATAAGGTCCCACAGTTGACAGTGCATGTCAGAGAAAAAACCAAGCCATGAGGTCAAAGGAATTGTCCGTAGAGCTCCGAGACAGGATTGTGTTGAGGCACAGATCTGGGGAACGGTACCAAAAAATGTCTGCAGCATTGATGGTCTTCAAGAACACAGTGGCCTCCATCATTCTTAAATGGAAGAAGTTTGAAACCACCAAGACTTATGAAACCAAGATTGAACTCTTTGGCCTGAATGCCAAGCGTCACGTCTGGAGGAAACCTGGCAACATCCCTACAGTGAAGCAAGGTGGTGGCAGGATCATGCTGTGGGGATGTTTTTCAGCGGCAGGGACTGGGAGACTAGTCAGGATCGAGGGAAAGATGGACGGAGCAAAGCACAGAGAGATCCTTGATGAAAACCTGCTCCAGAGCGCTCAGGACCTCAGACTGGGGCGAAGGTTCACCTTCCAACAGGACTATGACCCTAAACACACAGCCAAGACAACGCAGGAGTGGCTTCGGGACAAGACTTTGAATGTCTTTGAGTGGCCCAGCCAGAGCCCGAACTTGAACCCGATCGAACATCTCTGGAGAGACCTGAAAATAGCTGTGCAGCGACGCTCCCCATCCAACCTGACAGAGCTTGAGAGGATCTGCAGAGAAGAAGGGGAGAAACTCGAGGTTGTAATCGCTGCCAAAGGTGCTTCAACAAAGTACTGAGTAAAGGGTCTGAATACTTATGTAAATGTGATATTTCCATTTTTTATTTCTATTACATTTGCAAAAAATTCTAAACACCTGTTTTTTCTTTGTCATTATGGGGTATTGTGTGTACATTGATGAGGGAAAAAAACAATTTAATCCATTTTAGAATATGGCTGTAACCTAACAAAATGTGGAAGAAGTCAAGGGGCCTGAATACTTTCCGAATGCACTGTACGTACACGTTTGGCCCCCAGTCTACCATGACTCTTGTTGACCAGTGGTTAGCCCACTGCAGGTACTAAGTGTTGTTGTTGTTGTGAGTAAGGTTCCAGTCTCGGGTTGGCCATACAGGTCGAAAACAACGTTATACAGATATTTATATTTTTTTCCCCCCTGAACTACACTGAACAAAAATATAAATGCAACATGTAAAGTGTTGGTTCCATGTTTCATGAGCTGAAATAAAATATCCCAGAAATGTTCCATATGCACAAAAAGCTTATTTCTCTCAAATGTTATGAACAAATTTGTTTACATCCCTGTTAGTGAGCATTTCTCCTTTGCCACGATAATCCATCCCCCTTACAGGTGTGGCATATCAAGAAGCTGATTATAAAGCATGATCATTACACAGATCATTATTGCTGGGAACAATAACAGGCCACTCTGAAATGTGCAGTTTTGCCACACAACACAATGCCACAGATGTCTCAAGTTTTGCGGGAGCATGCAATTGGCATGCTGACTGCAGGAATGTCCACCAGAGCTGTTGCCAGAGAATTTTATATTCATTTCTCTACAATAAGCCGCCTCCAACGTCGTTTTAGAGAATTTGGCAGTATGTCCAACCAGCCTCACAACCGCCGACCACATGTAACCACGCCAGCCCAGGACCTCCACATCCGGCTTCTTCACCTGCGGGATCGTCTGAGACCAGCAACCCGGACAGCTGATGAAACTGAGGAGTATTTCTGTCTGTAATTAAGCCCTTTTGTGGGGAAAAACTCATTCTGATTGTCTGGGCCTGGCTCCCCAGTGGGCTGCGCCCCTGCCCAGTCATGTGAAATCCATAGATTAGGGCCTAATTTATTTATTTCAATTGACTGATTTCCTTATATGAACTGTAAGTCAGTAAAATTGTTGAAATTGTTGCATGTTGCATTTATATTTTTGTTCAGTATAGTGTAGTAGGCTACTCGATATGGGTGCAAAACCACTATTTTCTGCAGGTGAAGAACTGGTTACTAACTGTCTCTCTCCTCGGCCACAGGGGCAGTTGGATCAGCAGATTAATGATGGTGCACCGGCCTAAATACACACAGACACACACACTAAGTTCCCTGCGTCCCGCCTCCATCTGTCACACTCCAACAAGCGTGTCACAGTTTCTGCAGTGTTCAGCTAAAACGCTCCTCTCTCCTCCTTAAAACCTCCCATAAAGCTCTGTTACCACGGTGATCAGTTCAACCCAGCAGCCATATGCTCCACTCTCCTCTTCCTGCTGATTCTACACTTTCCCTACCCTCTTTTCCATCCCTCTCTGAGCCTTCTCTCTGATCTCTCTCTCTTTTCATCACCCCATCTCTCTGTCTGTCTCTCACTCAGTTCTTCACTGCTTCTCCCCATCTCTCTCCCTCCCTCTCACCCTCCTTCCCTCTCTCTCTCATCTCTCCCTCATCTCTCTCTGTCTCACCCATCTCTCTCTGTTCGTCCCCTAAATCTCTTCACCCCTCTTTCTGGATCTATGTAATCCACTTTCTTTGTAGCCATGGTTGTGTCCCAAATGGCACCCTATTCCATATGCAGTGCACTACTTTGGACCAGACACTACATAGGGAAAAGGGTCAATTAGAAACGCAGGCCATGTCTGCCCAATCTATCTATTATACTAATTGCTTTAGACATAACATTAGTAATCATAACTCCAATAGGGTGGTGTTCCATAAATAAGTGTCCCCTATGACACTGTGGTGTTACAGGAATAAGTGTTCCTGTCCAAGGGGTTGGAGCGCTGGCCGGAATGTGGTTTTTCCCATCAGTGGGATCAGGAGCTCAGCTCGGAATTCTGGGAATATTGCTGCCGGCAGATCGGATGATGCCTCCCACAGCTGCTGTTACTAAGAAAAGCCTAAGAACACACACGTTACGCATACACTCTCACTGCGCACACACACATTTACTATGTACACACACACTCATGTACACACCCTTAGACCCAACCAGGCAGCCATGGGGTGTGTTGTAAAGGGGGAAAGAGGTCAGAGAGAGGCAGCATAAGTAATAGCTGTTATATGGGATCTGCAAGTGACATTAAGTAGGTGTGTGTGTGTGTTTGAATCAGTAACTGACGTGTGTGTTTTGTAATTTTCAGAGAGGATGTCTGAAGCAATCGTCCCAGAATCCTCAGGGCTAAGGTCATGTGACGAGTTATGCTCCTCCCCTCCGCCATCCTCACCCCCCCTTGCCACAGAGGAGGAGTGTCACCATGACAACAGAAAGGTGGAGCAGCAGGTAAGACTTGCGACTGAATGAGGTGTTATTATAGATCAGATAGGTGACATGACTGGTGGTCCCCGAGGATGTGGTTGAGGAATGCCATGTGATGTCACTGTGTGATGATTTGTCACTTTTTGTCCCACAGAAACCAGTCAGTAACCAGGGGCAACCAGCCAGGAAGAGAACCAAGGTATGCTCTGTTTCTGTCACACACCTACACTACGTAGAGCCCTAGATATCACTGTTGTGTATGTATATGTGTCAGACTTGGTCAAATACACTTGATTTAGCCCCGGGTGGGCAGGGTTTGCACTTCTGGGGCTATTTCATTGGTTAATGTTGTTGCTTGTTTCAGGCCAAAGGCAGGTTGGTGAGGAGCATGGCTGTGTGTGATGAGTCATCCCCACCCTCCCCTGCTGACACCACCCAGGACAGCCAGGTAACACACAACACACACGTACACACACAAACACTCATAAGACACACACACAAAACACGCACGCACAACACACACACAGACACAAAACACACAAAACACACATACAACACACACACACAAAACACGCACACACAGCACACACACATACAACACACACACATACAACACACACACACATCATGTAATGTTTGATGTTTTAGAGCTCTGTTGAAGTCACCATGCTGCCAGGTTGCCATGACAATGAGGAGGAAGAGCAGAGCAAAGAACCAAACGTGCCCACGTTAATCATCTCAGACACCAGTCAGGAATACACAGACTCTACTGGGATTGACCTGCACCAGTTTATCATCACCACCCTGAACAGCAACCCCAGGTACAGAAAACTCCTGTGTGTGTGTGTGTGTGTGTGTGTGTGTGTGTGTGTGTGTGTGTGTGTGTGTGTGTGTGTGTGTGTGTGTGTGTGTGTGTGTGTGTGTGTGTGTGTGTGTGTGTGTGTGTGTGTGTGTGTGTGTGTGTGTGTGTGTGTGTGTGTGTGTGTGTGTGTGTGTGTGTGTGTGTGTGTGTGTGTGTGAAACTGCTTGGCTGGCAATGATGTCATGATGATGTCATGGTAATAATATGATGTCATGGTGATGTCATCTTTCAGGGACAGGATGATGCTGTTGAAACTGGAGCAGGAGATGATCGACTTCATCACAGACAACGGGTATGTGTGTGTGTGTGTGTGTGGCCATTCTTTTTTTAAATGCAAATATTATTTGTCTAAGCAAGACTGTCATCCCCTCCCTCATTATTCTCTCCCCCCTCTCTCTCTCTTTCTCTCTCTCTCCCTCTCTCTCCCCCTCCCTCTCTCAGTCCCTATAAGAAATTCCCTCACATGTCTTCCTACCATCGTATGTTGGTCCACCGGGTAGCAGCCTACTTTGGCATGGAACACAATGTGGACCAGACTGGCAAATCTGTCATCATCAACAGCACCAGTAACACACGCATGTACGTAGCTCTCTCTTCTATGTGGTATATCAGTACGCTTGCAACAACAGGATTGTGGGTTCGATTCCCGCTGGGGCCACCCATACAATAACGTGTGTACTCACTACTGTAAGTCGCTTTGGACATAAAAGTGTCTGCTAAAGGACATATATTATTGTTGTTGTATTATTCTATATTTCTGTATGTGTGTGTAGACCAGAGCAGAGGTTTATGGACTATGTCCAGGAGGAGAGAGGAGAGGAGAGTCAGTGGAGAACCATACTGAAGAGAGACAACGCAGAAGACAACCAGGTAGCTCTCTCTCTCTCTCTGTCTGTTTTCTTAGTAGTATATACAGTGAGGGAAAAAAGTATTTGATCCCCTGCTGATTTTGTACGTTTGCCCACTGACAAAGAAATGATCAGTCTATAATTTTAATGGTAGGTTTATTTGAACAGTGAGAGACAGAATAACAACAACAAAATCCAGAAAAATGCATGTCAAAAATGTTATAAATTGATTTTTATTTTAATGAGGGAAATACAGTGAGGGGAAAAAAAGTATTTGATCCCCTGCTGATTTTGTACATTTGCCCACTGACAAAGACATGATCAGTCTATCATTTTAATGGTAGGTTTATTTGAACAGTGAGAGACAGAATAACAACAAAAAAATCCAGAAAAACGCATGTCAAAAATGTTATAAATTGATTTGCATTTTAATGAGGGAAATAAGTATTTGACCCCTCTGCAAAACATGACTTAGTACTTGGTGGCAAAACCCTTGTTGGCAATCACAGAGGTCAGACGTTTCTTGTAGTTGGCCACCAGGTTTGCACACATCTCAGGAAGGATTTTGTCCCACTCCTCTTTGCAGATCTTCTCCAAGTCATTAAGGTTTCGAGGCTGACGTTTGGCAACTCAAACCTTCAGCTCCCTCCACATATTTTCTATGGGATTAAGGTCTGGAGACTGGCTAGGCCACTCCAGGACCTTCATGTGCATCTTCTTGAGCCACTCCTTTGTTGCCTTGGCCGTGTGTTTTGGGTCATTGTCATGCTGGAATACCCATCCACGACCCATTTCCAATGCCCTGGCTGAGGGAAGGAGGTTCTCACCCAAGATTTGATGGTACATGGCCCCGTCCATCGTCCCTTTGATGCGGTGAAGTTGTCCTGTCCCCTTAGCAGAAAAACACCCCCAAAGCATAATGTTTCCACCTCCATGTTTGACGGTGGGGATGGTGTTCTTGGGGTAACAGGCAGCATTCCTCCTCCTCCAAACACGGCGAGTTGAGTTGATGCCAAAGAGCTCGATTCTGGTCTCATCTGAGCTAAAGGGTAGAGCTGCCGCTTTCAAGGAGCGGGACTCTAACCCGGACGCTTATAATAAATCCCGCTATGCCCTCCGACGAACCATCAAACAGGCAAAGAGTCAATACAGGACTAAGATTGAATCGTACTACACTGGCTCTGACGCTCGTCGGATGTGGCAGGGCTTGAAAACTATTACAGACTACAAAGGGAAGCACAGCCGCGAGCTGCCCAGTGACACAAGACTTCCAGACGAGCTAAATCACTTCTATGCTCGCTTCGAGGCAAGCAACACTGAAGCATGCATGAGAGCACCAGCTGTTCTGGATGACTATGTGATCACGCTCTCCGTAGCCGATGTGAGTAAGACTTTTAAACAGGTCAACATTCACAAGGCCGCAGGGCCAGATGGATTACCAGGACGTGTACTCCGAGCATGTGCTGACCAACTGGCAAGTGTCTTCACTGACATTTTCAACATGTCCCTGACTGAGTCTGTAATACCAACATGTTTCAAGCAGACCACCATAGTCTCCGTGCCCAAGAACTCTAAGATAACCTGCCTAAATGACTACCGACCCGTAGCACTGACGTCTGTAGCCATGAAGTGCTTTGAAAGGCTGGTCATGGCTCACATCAACAGCATTATCCCAGAAACCCTAGACCCACTCCAATTTGCATACCGCCCCAACAGATCCACAGATGATGCAATCTCTATTGCACTCCACACAGCCCTTTCCCACCTGGACAAGAGGAACACCTACGTGAGAATGCTATTCATTGACTACAGCTCAGCATTCAACACCATAGTGCCCTCAAAGCTCATCACTAAGCTAAGGATCCTGGGACTAAACACCTCCCTCTGCAACTGGATCCTGGACTTCCTGACGGGCCGCCCCCAGGTGGTAAGGGTAGGTAACAACACATCTGCCACACTGATCCACAACACGGGGGCCCCTCAGGGGTGCGTGCTCAGTCCCCTCCTGTACTCCCTGTTCACCCATGACTGCATGGCCAGGCACGACTCCAACACCATCATTAAGTTTGCCGACGACACAACAGTGGTAGGCCTGATCACCGACAACGATGAGACAGCCTATAGGGAGGTCAGAGACCTGGCCGTGTGGTGCCAGGATAACAACCTCTCCCTCAACGTGACCAAGACAAAGGAGATGATTGTGGACTACAGGGGAAAAAAAGAGGACTGAGCACGCCCCCATTCTCATCGACAGGGCTGTAGTGGAACAGGTTGAGAGCTTCAAGTTCCTTGGTGTCCACATCACCAACGAACTATCATGGTCCAAACACACCAAGACAGTCGTGAAGAGGGCACAACAAAGCCTATTCCCCCTCAGGAGACTGAAAAGATTTGGCATGGGTCCTCAGATCCTCAAACAATTCTACAGCTGCACCATCGAGAGCATCCTGACTGGTTGCATCACCGCCTGGTATGGCAACTGCTTGGCCTCCGACCGCAAGGCACTACAGAGGGTAGTGCGTACGGCCCAGTACATCACTGGGGCCAAGCTTCCTGCCATCCAGGACCTCTATACCAGGCGGTGTCAGAGGAAGGCCCTCAAAATTGTCAAAGACTCCAGCCACCCTAGTCATAGACTGTTCTCTCTGCTACCGCACGGCAAGCGGTACCGGAGTGCCAAGTCTAGGTCCAAAAGACTTCTCAACAGCTTCTACCCCCAAGCCATAAGACTCCTGAACAGATAATCATGGCTACCCGGACTATTTGCACTGCCCCCCCACCCCATCCTTTTACGCTGCTGCTACTCTGTTAATTATTTATGCATAATCACTTTAACTCTACCCACATGTACATATTACTTCAACTACCTCAACTAGCCGGTGCCCCCGCACATTGACTCTGCACCGGTACCCCCCTGTATATATAGCCTCCCTACTGTTATTTTATTTTACTTCTGCTCTTTTTTTCTCAACACTTTTTTTTTTTTTTTTTTTTTTTTTTTTTGTTAAAAATAAATGCACTGTTGGTTAAGGGCTGTAAGTAAGCATTTCACTGTAATGTCTGCACCTGTTGTATTCGGCGCATGTGGCCAATAAAATTTGATTTGATTTGATCTGACCACAACACTTTCCCCCAGTTCTCCTCTGAATCATTCAGATGTTAATTGGCAAACTTCAGACAGCCCTGTATATGTGCTTTCTTGAGCAGTGGGACCTTGCGGGCGCTGCAGGATTTCAGTCCTTCACGGCGTAGTGTGTTACCAATTGTTTTCTTGGTGACTATGGTCCCAGCTGCCTTGAGATCATTGACAAGATCCTCCCGTGTAGTTCTGGGCTGATTCCTCACCGTTCTCATGATCATTGCAACTCCACGAGGTGAGATCTTGCATGGCGCCCCAGGCCGAGGGAGATTTACAGTTATTTTGTGTTTCTTCCATTTGCGAATAATCGCACCAACTGTTGTCACCTTCTCACCAAGCTGCTTGGCGATGGTCTTGTAGCCCATTCCAGCCTTGTGTAGGTCTACAAACTTGTCCCTGACATCCTTGGAGAGCTCTTTGGTCTTGGCCATGGTGGAGAGTTTGGAATCTGATTGACTGGTTGCTTCTGTGGACAGGTGTCTTTTATACAGGTAACAAGCTGAGATTAGGAGCACTCCCTTTAAGAGTGTGCTCCTAATCTCAGCTCGTTACCCGTATAAAAGACACCTGGGAGCCAGAAATCTTTCTGATTGAGAGGGGGTCAAATACTTATTTCCCTCATTAAAATGCAAATCAATTTATAAAATTTTTGACATGCGTTTTTCTGGATTTTTGTTTTGTTATTCTGTCTCTCACTGTTCAAATAAACCTACCATTAAAATTATAGACTGATCATTTCTTTATCACTGGGCAAACGTACAAAATCAGCAGGGGATCAAATACTTTTTTCCCTCACTGTAAGTACTATATAAGCTTGCATATTTGGATAGCTTTTAGAAGTCCTTGTCAGAGTTCCTGATTTTGAGATGTTGTGTTCTGATCCTGCCCCCACCAGGCAAGGCTTCACCCACTACGCGAGGAGAGGAGGAGCAAATCAATGGAGGAGAGAGAGGAGGAGTACCAGAGAGCTAGAGAAAGGATCTTCAACCAGGAGGTACACACACACACAAACACATACACACACACTCTCTCTCTCATCTCTTATCCTTTCTTCTGTCTTCCACAGCCTGCCTGTCCCCAGGAGACCAGGTAACATTGTTTTTATGTTTGACGTAAAACAAAGTTGGGTTAACATTTTTTTATTTTCTCCAATGGACGGTTGTAATAACATTGTGATTAATAACTGATTACTGTGTGTGTGTTGTCTTTGCAGGTCTATAGAGGATGGTAGCCCCCATGCTGCGACCCAGAGAAGGCAGCTCTTTAGGTGAGTGTGGTGGCTGAGTGGTACTGAATCTTGACCGTACCAGTAGCGTTTAGCTGAACACACTACCGGGCCTTTAATGACCAGTTTACTAGTTTAAATCATTTGCTGGTGTGTGTGTGTCCTATAGGGGTACCAGGGGTAACTCGGGCTCAAGCCGACAGAGCAGCACGGAGACTGACTACAGTCGCTATAGTAACTGGAGCAGCACTGACTCAGGTCGCTATAGCAACGACCCCCGACCCTGGAGCAGCACAGACTCAGACTCTGCCTACCAGAGGCCAAACCCCGCCCCCAAGGCCCGAACAGCCAATCACAGCTGGGACGCACGAGGTAGAGAAGACAATCTAATTTAATTGAACTACGATCGTGATCCTTTACCATGTACTTTAATGTCTACCTTCTCTCTGTTTCTCCCTTCTCTCCTTTTCCCACCTTCTCTCTCCCTTTCCCACCTTCTCTCCTCCTCTCTCCCTTTCCCTCATCATCTGTCTTTCCCAGATGACCATGCCCCCACCACAGGCTCCAACTACCTCACGGTGCCCATTGAGAACGGGATTCCACCAGGAAGTATATTACTGAACCCACATACAGGTACACACACACATACACATGTATATGTGAAAGGGGAATTGGGAATCGGGAGTTTAACCTTGACCCCTGACCCCAGGCCAGCCCTTCCTAAACCCAGACGGAACCCCCGCCATCTACAACCCCCCCGACCCCCAGCAGCCAACAAGAAGCCAGCCTCAGCAGCAGGCCCCTCCGCCGCAGCAGCCAATGGCTGGCCACACCGTCCCCCAGGTACAACACTGATTGCACAGTAACCAAATAGAATTTGTATACAAATACAATAATCTACCTATTCATTAGTTATACTAAATGAATAAACAGTTCTGGCTACGCAATCGGATTGGCCAAATTGCGTTCCAGCCGTGTCGATAATAGCAATAAACAGAGCCCGTTTTTGTAATAGAAGACTCTGGCAATAACAACGCTTTCTCTCTCTCGCTCCCTTTCTCTCAGGTGGTTCAATATTCGTCCGTCTCTTACCCTCCCCAGCAGTTGCAATACTCTACGGTACTATGTGTGTTCGTGCATGTTTGTTTTTGTGGATATAACAGTGTATGCATGAACAGTATAAATCTAGTGTGTGTGTCTGTATGCGTGTCTGTGTTAACGTGCTCTCTGTGGTCCTCAGAGAGAGGACCTGTCGTCCCAGTTTGGTCACATGACTGTGAGCTGTCAGTCATTGGGGGAAGCTCCGCCTCTATATCCTCCCTTAGCCCCTCCCACACAGAGTTACGTCTATACCGCCCCTCCCCCTCCTCACAACCCCCCCAGCTACTGTCAATCCCCTCCAACTCAGGTAGGAATAACACAACACAATCATAATAGAATGGTAGCATAGAATGGTAGAATGATAGAATAGTCCCATGTGTTGACATGATGTTGAACTCTGTACTGTAGGTGCCTGTGTATTACTACTCTACTACTCAGTATCCTACCTCAGCACCCCAAAGACCTGCCACACCTACCCAGGCCATACAGCCTACAGGTACACAGCTGTGTGTGTGTGTGTGTGTGTGTGTGTGTGTGTGTGTGTGTGTGTGTGTGTGTGTGTGTGTGTGTGTGTGTGTGTGTGTGTGTGTGTGTGTGTGTGTGTGTGTGTGTGTGTGTGTGTGTGTGTGTGTGGCAGTAGGGAGGGGGGCCGTTACACTGTAAGAGATGTAGTCTAAGGTCTCACAGTGAACCGGTCTCTTTTCCTGCTGCTTCTACTCTACAGAGAGAGGGGGGGAGAGCGTGATCCTGAATTGCTGCTTGTCAGATATTACAGCGAATGATACAGCTTTGAATTAGCTTTAAACAAACAAGCAATTGATTTATGTTTTATGAATAATCTGCTGGGTCTTTATATCTGTGTGTGTGTGTGTTGTGTAGGTTACTCTCCTGTCATAGCCAATCAGCAGCAGAGCTACCAGGGGATGATGGGTTTGCAGCCACCTCAGAGCCATGCCCAAAGATTGATGGGTTCTTATCCACCTGGCCCCTCTCATCCATGTGGTGTAACACAGGTAACTATGACAACCACAGTGTCATATACAGTGGGGGAAAAAAGTATTTAGTCAGCCACCAATTGTGCAAGTTCTCCCACTTAAAAAGATGAGAGAGGCCTGTAATTTTCATCATAGGTACACGTCAACTATGACAGACAAAATGAGAAAAAAAATCACTGATAATCTCCCTCGATCTGGGGATCCACGCAAGATCTCACCCCGTGGGGTCAAAATGATCACAAGAACGGTGAGCAAAAATCCCAGAACCACACGGGGGGACCTAGTGAATGACCTGCAGAGAGCTGGGACCAAAGTAACAAAGCCTACCATCAGTAACACACTACGCCGCCAGGGACTCAAATCCTGCAGTGCCAGACATGCCCCCCTGCTTAAGCCAGTACATGTCCAGGCCCGTCTGAAGTTTGCTAGAGTGCATTTGGATGATCCAGAAGAGGATTGGGAGAATGTCATATTGTCAGATGAAACCAAAATATAACTTTTTGGTAAAAACTCAACTCGTCGTGTTTGGAGGACAAAGAATGCTGAGTTGCATCCAAAGAACACATTTACATTTACAAATACACCCTATAGCCAGTGGGATAACCACTTTACAATAGTTTTTTTTTTTTTTTTGGGGGGGGGGGGGGGGGGGGGGGTAGAAGGATTACTTTATCCTATCCCAGGTATTCCTTAAAGACACCATACCTACTGTGAAGCATGGGGGTGGAAACATCATGCTTTGGGGCTGTTTTTCTGCAAAGGGACCAGGACGACTGTTCCGTGTAAAGGAAAGAATGAATGGGGCCATGTATCGTGAGATTTTGAGTGAAAACCTCCTTCCATCAGCAAGGGCATTGAAAATGAAACGTGGCTGGATCTTTCAGCATGACAATGATCCCAAATACACCGCCCGGGCAACGAAGGAGTGGCTTCGTAAGAAGCATTTCAAGGTCCTGGAGTGGCCTAGCCAGTCTCCAGATCTCAACCCCATAGAAAATCTTTGGAGGGAGTTGAAAGTCCGTGTTGCCCAGCGACAGCCCCAAAACATCACTGCTCTAGAGGAGATCTGCATGGAGGAATGGGCCAAAATACCAGCAACAGTGTGTGAAAACCTTGTGAAGACTTACAGAAAACGTTTGACCTGTGTCATTGCCAACAAAGGGTATATAACAAAGTATTGAGAAACTTTTGTTATTGACCAAATACTTATTTTCCACCATAATTTGCAAATAAATTCATTAAAAATCCTACAATGTGATTTTCTGGATTTTTTTTCCTCATTTTGTCTGTCATAGTTGACGTGTACCTATGATGAAGATTACAGGCCTCTCTCATCTTTTTAAGTGGGAGAACTTGCACAATTGGTGGCTGACTAAATACTTTTTTCCCCCACTGTACACTCAGTGGCCATTTTATTAGGTACACCACCCTGTTCACGAAAATGGTTAGCTCCTACAGACAGTGAGTCACGTATGCATGGCTTGCTATATAAAGCAGGCAGACAGGCATCGAAGCATTCAGTTACCGTTTGATTGAACGTTACAATTGGCAAAACGAGTGGCCTAAGCGACTTTGAGTGTCGTATGATCGTTGGTGCCTGGCGCGCCGGTTCCAGTATCTCAGAAACGCCCGCCTCCTGGGCTTTTCACGCACGACAGTGTATAGGGTTTACTGAGAATGGTGCGACAAACAAAAACATCCAGTCAGCAGTCCTGTGGGCGAAAAGAGCTCATTGATGAGAGGTCGAAGGAGAATGGCAAGAATTGTGCAAGCTAACAGGCGGGCCACAAATAGGCAAATAACGGCGCAGTCCAAAAGTGGTGTGCAGAATGGCATCTTGGAACGCACAACTCGTCGGTCCTTGTCACGGATGGGCTATTGCAGCAGACGACCACACCGGGTTCCACTCCTATCAAACAAGAAGACGCGTCTCCAGTGGGCACACGATCACACTAAACAATTGAGGACTGGAAAAACATTGCCTGGTTCGACGAATCCCGGTTCCTGTTGCGTCATGCTGATGGCGGAGTCAGGATTTGGTGTAATCAGCATGAGTCCATGGCCCCATCCTGCCAGGTGTCAAAATCACAGGCTGGTGTAATGGTGTGGGGAATGTAAAATGTATGCAGGCATGACTAAGTTGCTTTGGATAAAAGTGTCTGCTAAATGGCATATATTATACCAATTGAGCAACGTTTCCATGCCCTGAAGAATGAATTCAGGCTGTTCTGGAGGCAAAGGGAGGTCAGACCCGGTACTAGATGGTTGTACCTAATAAACTGGCCACTGACAGTAATTATTCAGTGTCGAATTAAATGTGCCTAGTGTTGTCAGGCTACTGATCAAATCTGTGCCTAAATTAAATCTCTCTCTTGCTCTTTCTCCCCCAGGGTGGTGTGGGGGTGTCGTACCCCCAGAGTGGTCTCATGTCGCTGGGTGAGGGAGGTTACTGCTGCATGGTGTCTCCAACCTGTCCCCCTGGTCCCATACCCCCTCCCCCTCTACACACCGGCTGCCATGCCTCCAGCTGTAGCAACATCAGCAGCCAGGGGTGGACGGGCAAATACTGACACACACACCCACCCACCCTAAACTTACATAAACCCCACACATATCCACACTTGACCTCCCTTCCCCCCCTACCTCTACTTGCACAACCCCACTGGACTGTGTTTAGATTGAGATGCAACCAGTGTTCAAACTGTTACACACACAGTATACCACAGGCAATGTATTGTGCCAAAGCTGTATCAGAGGTACTGTACTGATTTAAAAGCATAATTTATATACTCCAGTTGAGTTTTGTATGGATATGAAATGATTATATATGATGTATTGTAGTGTTTGAGCAGAATAAACTGATGTGGCTGATTTGACATGTCACCTTTCTAACCAGTCATCCTTCTCTTTCACACACACTAATTAGTATTTTATCTGATTTTCTAATGTACACACTGCTGCCATTGTTACTATTGATTGTACCACAATTATTAAACAGATCTTTTTATATATTTTTTTTAACATTTGATAGATCCAGAGATATTCACAGAGAGCAATCTAGAAAAATTGTCTAACACTGAACAAAAATATAAACGCAATATTTCTCTCAAATTTTGTGCACACATTTGTTTACATTCCTGTTAGTGAGCATTTTTCCTTTGCCAAGATAATCCATCCACCTGACAGGTGTGGCATATCAAGAAGCTGATTAAAGAGCATGACAATTACACAGGTGCACCTTGTGCTGGAGACAATAAAAGGCCACTCTAAAATTTGCAGTTGTCACACAACACAATGCCATAGATATCTCAAGTTTTGAGGGAGCGTGCAATTGGCATGACTGCAGGAATGTCCACAAGAGCTGTTGCCAGATAATTTAATGCTAATTTCTCTACCATAAGCCACCTCCGTCGTCATTTTAGAGAATTTGGCAGTACGTCCAACCGGCGTCACAACTGCAGACCATGTTTATGGCGTTGTGTTTAGTGAGCGGTTTGCTGATGTCAACGTTGTGAACAGAGTGCCCCATGGTGACGGTGGGCTTTTGGTATGGGCAGGCATAAGCTACGGACAACAAACACAATTGCATTTGATCAATGTCATGCACAGAGATACCGTGATGAGATCCTGTGGCCCATTGTCGTGCCATTCATCCACTGCCATCACCTCATGTTTCAGCATGATAATGCACAGCCCCATGTCGAAAGGATCTGTACACAATTCCTGGAAGCTGAAAATGTCCCACTTCTTCCATGGCCTGCATACTCACCAGACATGTCACCCATTGAGTATGTTTGGGCCACAATCCACAGCCTGATCAACTCTATAAGAAAGTGTGCTGCATGAGACAAATGGATGTCACACCAGATAGGGGTGTGGATCAGAAAACCAGTCTACCTTTTTTTAAGGTATCTGTGACCAACAGATGCATATCTGTATTTCCAGTCGTGAAATCCTTAGATTAGGGCCTAATTAATTTATTTCAATTGACTGATTTCCTTATATGAACTGTAACTTAGTAAAATCTTTGAAAGTGTTGCATGTTGCATTTCCATTTTTGTTCAGTAGAATTACACCTTTTCTTGTGATCCTGTCTCCAAAGTCTTGTCTTCACTCTTGAGGGTCATTCGAGGAGTTTGTTGTTGGGGGACAGTAGGCTCGGTACTTCTTGTAGTAGATGAGGACACCCACTACCATTACAACCACTGCTGTCCCTTTTGCAGAAAGGAAAAGAGTGATGTGAGGTTTCAAAAAGGGAAAACCACTGTCTTTCTTAAGACATTTCGTATATGGCAATTTTTTTGTTCACCCTTTCTGCTCAGTACCCAGCTTTCTGTGTCTTTCCCTAACTCACTCACTCTCATGGTCTCCATCTCTAACACACACACACACACACACACACACAACCTTTGCTGATGCAACATGGTCAATGATGAGAGAAACAAAATTGATAAAACACACACACACACACACACAGAGAGAGAGAGACAGACAGACACACACCTGTTCCCCCCTGGCTTCTGTCGGTGCGGGGGAGACACCGCACAACTCTCCCTCCCACCTCTGTCTTTCCGAATGCAAAGGGATGTGAGCAGTCTGCTTGGCAATTTAGCTTCATGGACAATGACAGGTGGCCAGTAGGCATTGGTGAGTATCGCCCAGGAAGTGACCCAGGAACACAAAGCACACTCTCCCATCTATCTCCATAAAAGGACATAATACACACCACAGTACTGAAGTAATAACAAAACTTAGTATACGTGACCGACCAGCAGGGTTATCATCATTGTGACTAGTTTCAGCAGTTAACAACTTGAATAACTCACACACGCGCAAGCACACACACACTTACTCACAGGAGAGGAATGTATTTTTCAGTTTCCATGATCTTTAATAAAAAGGCAGCCATAGTGAGATGAGTCAGTGAGTCTATTGGTATAGAGACAAAAAGCATTAAAACACAGAATACAATACCTAGCTAGGCCTGGAGGAGACAGATCTATAGAAATACTCAACCTAGATAGGTCAGGAGGAGAGACAGATCTATCACAGTAGATTCTACTTTTAGTAACGTCATAATCGTCATCATAGCTTAATTCAAGTAAGTCTAATGCTCTAAACATGTCACCATAGTAATGCACCACACCCACCCCCTCTATACACACACACTACCCAAAGTCAAAGGTCCGTCCAGGGTTCTCCCCCTTTAGAACCAGAGTCGTGATCTAGTCCTCTAGAACAAGGTTGAGCCGGTGGACCGTTCAGGTTATATTTTCCCTCTCTCGGAGGTGAACCACCCTCCCATCGCAAATAACCTTATCTGAGACTTGAAGACTTCAGGTACCTCCCCAAGCTAATGCCTACACTTTAGCTCAGAAGACTAACACAGTCTTGTGGCACACAGACAAACTGGGTTCGAACCCAGTCTGTAACACTAGCTGGGCTTCCCCTCTGTCAGAGCAAGCTGGGATTCCCCTCAGGTCTGTTTCAGGGTTCTGGGTTCTCAGATTCTAGCAGGTCTCTAGTACGGACCAACCAGAGCAGAGGAAGGAGTCCACATGTGTGTGGCTATGCAAGTGTCTGTTTATAGGGATGTGTTCACTGGGGCCCCAAATTAATCTGTCTCAACACAAACAAACACACACACACACTAAAACCTAACTAAAAAGGAAAAGTTCACAGGTATTTAAATATTCAGGGTTAAAAGGAAATATGAATTGGTATAAGTTAGCTTATAACATGAATATATAAATCACAACTAATGTTTAAAGGACTACCTAAAAGGAGCATGCAGAACAACTCTCCTGTGTGTCAAAGGGCAAAACACAGCCATCTTGGCTCTGGTCTGGGCTGCTTTCAGATACAAAATGAACACCTGTCCTAAACAGACCGACTAGGAGCAGGTCAGGGAGCAAGTGAGTGTGTGTGCATACAGGCGACACACACCCTTTACCTCTCCATAGGACAGACTAACTGAGTGGTCAGAGTTAGTTCAAAACTCACATTCACATCTTTGGAACACACACACAGTCCTTCCTGCTTTGGTTGGTACAGTGCATTCGGAAAGTATTCAGACCCCTTGATTTTTTCCACATTTTGTTACGTTAGAGCCTTATTCTAAAATGGATTAAATTTTTAAAAAATGTCCTCAATCTACACACAATACCCCATAATGACAAAGTGAAAACAGGTTTTTAGAAATGTTTGCAAAAAAAAAAACGTCTCCCTTATTTACATAAGTATTCAGACCCTTTGCTATGACACTCGAAATTGAGCTCAGGTGCATCCTGTTTCCATTGATCATCCTTGAGATGTTTCTACAACTTGATTGGAGTCCACCTGTGGTAAATTAAATTGATTGGACTATATAAAAGGTCCCACAGTTGACAGTGCATGTCAGACCAAAAACCAAGCCATGAGGTCAAAGGAATTGTCCGTAGAGCTCCAAGACAGGATTGTGTCGAGGCACAGATCTGGGGAAGGGTACCAAAACATCTCTGCAGCATTGGTTAGGGAGGTGCCCAAGAACCCGATGGTCACCTTGACAGAGCTCCTCTGTGGAGATGGGAGAACCTTCCAGAAGGACAACCATCTCTGCAGCACTCCACCAATCAGGCCTTTATGGTAGAGTGGCCAGACGGAAGCCACTCCTCAGTAAAAGGCACATAACAGCCCGCTTGGAGTTTGCCAAATGGCACCTAAAGGACTCAGACCATGAGAAACAAGATAATCTAGTCTGATGAAACCAAGATTGAACTCTTTGGCCTGAATGCCAAGCGTCACTTCTGGCCGAAACTTGGCACCATCCCTAAGGTGAAGCATGGTGGTGGCAGCATCATGCTGTGGGGATCTTTTTCAGTGGCAGGGACTGGGAGACTAGTCAGGATCGAGGGAAAGATGAACGGAGCAAAGTACAGAGAGATCCTTGATGAAAACCTGGGACAAGTCTCTGAATGTCCTAGAGTGGCCCAGCCAGAGCCTGGAATTGAACACTGATTGTACATCTCTGGAGAGACCTGAAAATAGCTGTGCAGCGACACTCCCCATCCAACCTGACAGAGCATGAAAGGATCTGCAGAGAAGAATGGGAGAAACTCCCCAAATACAGGTGTGCAAAGCTTGTAGCATCATACCCAAGAAGACTCAAGGCTGTAATCGCTGCCAAAGGTGCTTCAAAGTACTAAGTAAAGGGTAAAAACCTGTTTTTGCTTTGTCATTATGGGGTATTGTGTGTAGATTGATGGGGAAAAACAATTTAATCAATTTTAGAATAAGGCTGTAACGTAACAAAACGTGGAAAAAGTCAAGGGGCGGGAATACTTCCCGAGTGCACTGCATGTGCTACATTTGGCTCTGGGGTCACCAACCAGTCCATAGCAACGACCCCCTCTCTCCCCTAGCAACACCCCCATCTCCATAGTAATGACCTTGTCAGTCTCTACAGACGAATTCCCCTGGCAACACCACCTTGTCTTCATAGCAATACTGAAAGCACCCCAAGTTAGGGTTCTATAACTCTCAGAAGTATGTCATCCAGTGGTGTGTATGTTTGTGCGTGTGTAAAGAGGTATCAGTGGTTCAGTGGTGTATCAATTTAATCTCAAACTTCAGGGGGTGAACAAGCTTTCTCTCCCTTCCTCCTTCCTTTCTCCTCCTCCTCCCCTGTCCCTCCTTCCCTTCATCTCTCTCGGTCCTCTCTCCCTTACCACATCTCTCCTCCCCCATCCCTCTCTCCTCCTTTGTCTATTTCTGAATCTGGAAGATGAAGAGTCGCAGGTTGATGTTCTTGGCGGCCAGTAGTTTGTTACACTCCACAGAGTCGGTGATGGGCAGGGGGACGTAGTCTGTCTCGTTGGTGTCGTTGCTGAACGCGTGGTGGTGGATCACAGGCTTGATCCTCACGTCATCGTACGGACCTTTCAACAGCAGGAAGGAACACTCTATAGCGGAGTTCACCTACAGGAAGGAGGAGGGTTAGAGAGAGAGAGAGAGAGTGTGTGTGTATGTCAGTGAGTGTGTGCGTACATTCAGTGAGTGTGTACCTTGCTCTTGAGGATGAGCTGGAAGGAGAGGGTGCGTTTGCAAGAGAGGTTAGGGTTGCGTTCAGAGTCGTTGACCCTGGCCTTCAGAACCCAGGTTTGGTTCAAAACGGTGAAACGAGGAGTCTCATAGTACAGACGGGTTATAAAGTCATCTGTGCGGTACGGCCTGAACTGGACCTCTGCACAGGGGAGAGGGAGGGGAGGAATGAATTAGAGAGATCCATGTTTTCTGTGTGTGTGACTGGTCCTTCAAGCCGGACAGGAACAATTGTCCTGGTAGTCAGGTAGTGTGTGTGTGTAAGACAGTGTGTACTGTGTACCTAGCCTACCTGTGAAGCCAATCTTCTCGTAGCAGAGCAGGGAGAATATAGAGCTGTAAAGGGTTAGTTCTCTGCGGTGGCTCTGGTCCATCTCCCCCAGGATGCCCATCAGCTCTGTGCCAGTCTTGGTGGGGTGGCAGCACTCCTCCTCGTGGGCCGGCAGCTCGTGGAACGGCCCCTTCCACGGGCAGCCTATCCTCTTGTACTTACACTGCGTCACCCTGGCAACATAACAAAAGGTGGGAGTTTAGGGCCAATCATGAGGACGAGGAGGAATAAGACAATTAGCAAATTCGTTTTGTGTCACCCGGTGCCCCTGGTGGGTGGAGATTTCACTTTTGCTAACTCTCTATCAGCTGGTCCCAAATCGCTTCCTACCCTTCCCCCTTGGTCCTAACCCCTAGTTTCTGCAGATCTGTAAGGTGGAAGCAATATGGTACAATCTCCACCACTGCACTGCTTATACCCATCACCCTACAGATATACAAACATGGAGGGGTTAGGGCCAAGAAGTGATTTGGGACCGGCTATATAATTTATGCTGGTTCTGTCAGTAACACCTGCACCAGGGTCGTCTGATCGTCATAACAGAACAGGCACAGTGACTTGTCACTATAACAACGACCCCATGGCCTTCGGTTGAGCACATAAACGCACACACACCCTGTAATCAGGTTGGTCAGTAATTAGATCAGCTGTTTTCTTCTCAAAAGAGCAGCAAGTCATGTGTTCCCAGTCCCCTCGTGGGGACACTTTCCACTTCCCCATGATGACAGAGGCTATTGTAAGCGTAGGGGTTAGGGTTAGGGTAAGGGGTTAGGTTTAGGGTTATGGTAGGGTTTAGGGAAAATAGGATTTTTAATGGAAATTAATTTTAGGTCCCCACGAGGATAGAAGAACAAAACATGTGTGTGTGTGTGTGTGTGTGTGTACCAATGAGGTGTGTACCTGTCTTGGCACTCCTCTCTCTGGTGCCTCTCTAGGCTGGAGCGAGGGAACTGTTTGAGACAGAAGGGGCAGTCTGTGGGCAGCTCACTCACAGCCTTCTCTACAGCCAGGTTCCTACAACACAGGGACTTACTGATCTCACACCTAGAGGGAGGGGGTGGGGGGGGGTAATCAATCAACCAGTCAATCCAATTATATTTGTATAGAGACACGGTTACTAATCTCACACTTAAAACAGAGTCATGTAAATCAGTCAATCACTCACTCACTCATTTCAACTGTATTTATAAACTGTGTGTGTGTGTATATGTGTGTGTGTACAGACCTGCAGTTAGGACACGTGGCCTGTTCCTCTTTCAGACGAGAGTCGGCCAGCAGGTGGATAAAACAGCCAGCACACATCAGGTGACCGTTGGTGCACTATAAAACAGAGAGGAAAGGGTTAATGTAGGTGTGTGTGTGGTGTGTCTGTACTGTGGATAGTAGTCTTTATAAATCAGTGTTTATACGCTATACAGAATTGCATTGTATAGAGAGCCACACAGGTGTTTGTATGTGTGTAGAATGTGAGTGTAAAAATGTCTGTGAGAGTTTGTGAATGGCTCTCTTTTCGAACCAGTCTTTGGCCTATCGCTGGTCAGAGAATCACCATTCAGGGGCAAGGTTAGGGCTATGTGTATGTCAGAGGTCACTGGGGTGGGGCAACATGGGGTGGGGCAACATGGCTCTAGATTATGGGGGATGAGGGGCATTGGATGCAAATGTTCATCCAATGCCCCTCATAATCTAGGCCATGGGGGTGGGGAGAGCAGGTGTTATTTGAGGGCATATTACTCAGTACCACACCACAGTAATGACACACAGGTGTAAACTGGGTGTGAGGTGAGCAGTTCATTGGGTGTTACATGCTGATGTGTTGGGGCTTGCCTATGCCTAATTCCTAGGGGTCGGCCTGGGATAAACACATCTGCATCAATTCATGTCTTCTTGTTGGCAAATCTGAATAGAATAGGGTCGGCAGCAGTTTCAGACACCTAGCTGATGACCAGATGATTTATAGATCTGATAATCTCTCTGTACTACGCTGAGCTCTGGCTAACCCTTCTGAACAAGTTAGCTATTGAGTTAACGTAGCTGCTAGCCTGCGGCCTTGGGCCCAACATATTTTCTTCACCTATCGTTACAGCCCACGACAGGTTGTGCTCAGTAGGCCTACATACTGTCTTCAACCCCCACTTCTTGCCTGACAACCTAGTTAGCTAGCTAACAGACATGTTCGTTAGGCTTACTTTATACGAAGTTAGCTAGCTAGCTAGCTAACATTGACAAGAGGGCCAAAGTCAGTAGGCCAGTGACAGGTGTGTTTGTCACAGTATTTACCTGATAAACGGAGGCTTTGGGCAGGTCTAGACATACAGTGCAGCACAGCACTGAATACAGCCTCTCTTCCAGCTTTCCCGACTCTCCCTCCGGCAGTCTCATCCGCTTCTTGGGCGGCGGCTCGTCCGGGTCCGACTCGGGCCCGAGCCCCTCTCCTCTCCGGATGTTCACCTCCTCCTGCATAGATGGCCCCCCGACCACTGCCTCCAGGGCTGCCCCCACCGCCACAACCCCCAGGCCGCCTGAGGAGGAGCCTGGAGCGGCCGCGACGCCCACCTCCCCCCGCTCTTCCATCGAGGATATGGTGGGTGGTGGTGATTGTCAGGCGTTAGCTAACTACCGGTCACCAAAATGTTACCTAGCTGGCAGGTTTAGCTTCACAGGCTAGACAAGGGAAAGCCAGGCCAACTAGCTAAGGGTCAGCTGGCTAGCAAGCAGTCAGAGCTCGAATGCAAGTTGGCTAGCTTGCCTGTTTGTAGGCAATGTTACGCAATAACGCGCTTGGAATGTAGATACTCGAACCCTCGCGTAACGTTCTGGAATGTCCACAATTGTTATTTGACGGTCGTTTTTGTAGACAGATATTTAGCGATGTTGGCAGATAAGCGAAATTCAGCTAGCTACTAGGCTATAGGTATCAAGCTCACAAAACACTCCAGTTCTCTCCGCTGTCTAGCTATAACAAAACACCCCGTCAGATGTTTTTGTGTTGTCCATTCTCTGTTATTTGCCGTGACAGCGCGTGAGCGGACATTCACCAACGGCCCTGTTCGGCAGATTGGTTAATGTCTTTTCCCCGGTGCCAGCTCACCATCCACCGGCACCCGGGAAGTGTCAGTTTTGGAAAAAGCAGAGATATGTTTAGACAGTTCGCTGGGACTACTCTCTAACTACACAGCCATCTTTGTTTTTCTCCTGTCCGGATGGTCGCCTCCTCCTCTCCCCGACTTCACTACTACACCCTAACTCGGCGCTAAAACTTCAGATCCTTACTGGTGTTACTCAGCCAGGGTCACAAAAACAGCTAATCCCGAGTTTCGGACAAACTGTCAATATTTTGCCAGTAGCTGTTATGGCCTCTCTTGCCAGTCCCTGTGCTGCGTCGCGGATTGGCTATCAGTGGAACGTTTTGTTGTATCAAATGACTTGGGGTATTTAAAGAGTGATGTGGGTGCGCATGCGTAGTGACTGTCTGCAGGGTCAGTGTGGTAGGACAAATGACTGAATATACTGGTAGGATGGACTTAAAGGTGACCAAAACCCGATATGCAACGAAATGGAGCACGTCACCTGACCTGAAGGGCGTCACCTGCCTGGACACAGCCAGAAATGATCAGACACATCATGCTACCTGAAAAACCCTGGTTGCCCCTGCCCCTGCACAATATACACTGTGTACAAATCATGAAGAACACCTTGTAATATTGAGTTGTCCTTGCACCCCCCCTTTTGCCCTCAGAACAGCCTCAATTTGTCAGACTCTACAAGGTGTCGAAAGCGTTCCACAGGGATGCTGGCCCATGTTGACTCCAATGCGTGACACAGTTGTGTCAAGTTGGCTGGATGTCCTTTGGGTGGTGGGTGGACCATTCTTGATACACACAGGAAACTGTTGAGCGTGAAAATCCAGCAGCGTTGCAGTTCTTGACACACTCAAACCGGTGCGCCTGGCACCTACTACCATACCCTGTTCAAAGGCAATTAAATATTCTGTCTTGTCTATTCACCCTCTGAATGGCACATATACACAATCCATGTCTCAATTGTCTCAAGGCTTAAAAATCCTTATTTAACCTGTCTCCTCCCCTTCATCTACACTGATTGAAGTGGATTTAACAAGTGACCTCAATAAGGGATCATAGCTTTCACCTGGATTCACCTGGTCAGTCTTGGTCATGGAAAGAGCAGGTGTTCTTAATGTTTTGTACACTCAGTGTAGGCTAGCCTACAAACAGTAGCAACAATAGGCTATCCTTCATTTGTCAAATGATGTAGGCTAATAGACTGATACATTTGGTGATAGGCTACCACCAGAGGACCCAGGTGTTGCGATCTTGTTAAGGATCATTACACTGTTATTACACTATTTGGTCACTCAAAATAAAAGACTCTCACAGGAAAACTTTGCCCATATTAACTAGTGAGCCAGAGAAGAAAGTGAGCAGGTGGTGTTAGAGTTTGAGTAGGTCTTGTCTGTCTGTTGTGTAATGTCAATGATAGTTATTACGACAGTTGTTTTTAGGTTTTTTAGGTGTGTGTGTGTGAAATCTATGGGTTCCTTTAGTTTCTATCATGGGATTATTTTGTTGCTTTTTTAATTTTTTTTACCGTATTTGACTGTATTCATTTTTTACTATATTTGACTGTATTCATTTTTTTACTGTATTTGACTGTATACATTCAGAGTGAAACCTTCAGTCCCTTCCCCCATCTCCCGGTTGTGCCAATCCGGTTGCTGTAAGGTGTTTATGGGGGGTGACAGCTGTCAATCAAAACGGCTGAGCACGCTCAGGATACCCTCAGGGCAGGAAGGGGGAGCTAGTCCGAATAGTGTGTGTGTTTGTGTGGGTAGGTCGGAGCCTGCGAGGGGTTTGAGGTTGCAGTTTTGTGTGTGTGTGTGTTTGGTGTGTGTGTGTGTGTGTGTGTGTGTGTGTGTGTGTGTGTGTGTGTGTGTAAGGTGTTGGGGTGTGTGTGCAAGGGCAGGATGTCATGGTGTCAGCTGTCTGATCAGGCAGCGTAGGGTCGCAACATGTCATTGGCCAAAGGGACATGCCTTATATGAACTAAATGACATGGTCAGAGACCAATATCTCCTACGCGTGCGTGCGAGCACACTTTTACACACACAGGTTACTCAGCTGTCACTACCCTAACACCAATCGTCAAACAAGATTAATATGTTGCAAAAGTACACAAAACAGTTCCCTTTCCCGTTTACATTGTGCCACACAAGTCACACTGCCACTGGTGACACCCATCATCATCACCTCCCTCTCACACTGAACCACTCCAAATACAACTAAACTCTTACTTAACAACTTAACTTAACAACTGAACTTAAAAACTGAATTTATTAAACAACTTAACTTAAAGACATTCTCCGGAACTTTGGCGACTAGTAAGTATTTTTTAAACCTCCCGCTTTGGGCTGGATCGGTCAATGTGTAGTTCATACATGCAGAATTACTGTTTTACCTCAATTAGCCATGAAATCACTAGTTTGAAGCGATTGTTTTTCTGGAAGCTGTGCTGCGCCATTTTCTCTACATTTTCCCCCACACGGGCCAGCCCCCTAGCAATTCGAGTTCAACCAATGAGCTTTAGCCCCTCGCCATATGAGTGACAGCTAGCAAGAGGCACATCATGCACACAGAGCGAGAGAGAGAGCAATGACATGGTGCACATATCTGCACAAATGTTGCGTAGTACGCAATTTTCAGGGACCACTTTTGGCTTGTGAGCATTACTTTCAGAACTACTGGCTAAAAAGTATACAAAAGTACTGGAGAATCTCTTTAACTTACACTGGCTATAGTCAAATCCCCAAGACTACATAACCAAAAACGAGAGGAGGCTGGTGGGAGAAGCTATAGGAGGACGAGCTCATTGTAATGGTTGGAATTGAATAAATTAAACGGTATCAAACAGATCAAACATATAGAAACCATGTTTGACTCCGTTCCATTAATTCCCTTCCAGTCATTATAATGAGCCCGTCCTCCAATAGCTCCTCCCACCAGCCTCCTCTGCCAAAAACTGTCTTGGGGATTCGGTTGTGGGATCATTGAGGGTTTATCATTGACATCACTTGACTACATTCCCCACATTGCCGTAGTGATTTGTAGTTTCCTCAGATACCACTATAGCTAGTGTTTGCTGCAAGTTCCATCCGTATACACCCGGTGGTGTCAATACGCCAAAAATGCTATTGTTCTGGAATTGATTCAAAAGCATATCACATCTATACAGTACAGTGCTCCTCTATGTCGTGACCTGTTTTTTGATACTGCTGCCACTGCTCTTTGCACTAATGCACCTTATAATTGAAAATGTCATATTTGTTATTTGATTTTCTCTATAAGTATATGTTTTTTTTGGTATAGCAGTCTTCAAGGACCCTGCAATGGGCCAATAGAGAATCTGAATAAGCCAATTAACCATGTTTGTTGGCTACATATGTTGAAAATGACTCTGTATCAAATATGTGTTATCACTAGCGTTCTCTCTCCTTACCACATCCGCTGTGACTGAGCAGAGAGGAAGGATGCAGAGGAGACAGTGAGCAACACCGTGTGTGTATCTGTGTGTATGTATGTGTGTGTATGTGTGTGCATGCGTGTGTGTTGAGAGACAGGGGGCTGTGCAATGGTGATTGTATTAAGCTAAACAATACAAGGTCGTCAGAAAAAATAATAATGGCTGAGAAAGAGAAAGGGAGATGGAGGGAGAGTTCGAGAGAATGGGAGGGAGAGATGGAGGGAGAGGGAGGGTAGATAGACAGGGAGGGAGGGTATGAGGGAAAGGGAGATGGAGAAAGGGAGAGAGAGAGAGGGGAAGACAGTATCTGGTATTTCTAGTAGGCCTCAAGGAGAAAAGAGGAGAGGATGGGGGCGTGGCTTAGGTTATGACATTCACTCAGAGAGAGAGAGGGCTGTGTGTGTGAGAGAGGGAGAGAGAGGGAGACAGGGAGGAGTAAGTATGTATGTGACAGAGAGGATGAAAACGAGACGGGGACAGAGAAGAGGGCTGTGTGTGTAATAGAGAGGGAGAAAAAGAGAGAAAGAGAAGAGAGCTGTGTTTGAGAGAGGGAGGGAGAAAAAAGAGATGAAGGGAGGGCTGTTTTGAGGATGTGCTCGAAAACGGAGGAGGGAGGAGGAAAAGGAGAGAACTGAGCTGAGAAAAATCTGTCTGATCCGCACACTGGTGTCTGCGATAGAGGAGAGCGGGAGGAGGAGAAGAGAGGATAGGAAGACGAAGAGAGAGAACACAGGACTGCACAGTGAGGTATGGGTTGCGTTATTTATAGCTATGACAGAGGCATGTGTATGAGTTTGTGTGTGTGTGTCTGTATGCATGTGTGAACAATCCATGTAATACGCTGTGTGTGTGCATGTGCATGCATGTGTGTGTCTGTGTGTGTGTGTGTGTATATGTGTGTATGTGTGTGTGTGTATGACTGCAGTGACCCTGTGTTTGCTGATGGACCCATGTATGATGGATGGAATATGACTGTTCAATTACTAATGATGTAATGTTAGTGCAGAATTTTCAGTGTGTCCGTGTGTCTGTGTGTGTGTGTGTCTATATATCTTAATGGTGTGTATGTGGATGTGTGCATAAATCGTGCCGATGAATGTGTTTAGGTGTGTGTGTGTGTGTGTTCATTCGTATCATATATTGTGTGTGCACATGCACAGTTGGGCAATTTGACATGATCAAATGTTTCTGCGCATGAGCTCAGCTAGCCAACACCACCATGACACTGCTTCATAATGTGTGTGTCACATTACTTAATAGCGTGATCAGGGATTTCTATTGGAGCAGACGTATCTGAGACTCTTCATATCATATACAGTATCTATAACCTACCTACTGATGTTCTAGACAGTTAGTTTTAATAGGAAAAAGGTGAAAGCAAAATGGAAGAGGTTCTGAAAGGCAAGGTGAAGCTGACTGTTAGCAGCACAGAATGTGGCAGGGTGTGTGTGTGTGTGCGTGT